GTAATAGTAATAGTACTAGTCATAGTAATAGTAATAGTAATAGTAACAGTAATAGTAATAGCAATAGTAATAGTCTGCCTACCTTTCCTGCTGGCCAAGCGTCGCTTTGCAAAGGCTGCACCTGCTCACTCTCGAACGACAATCCCGCGGAGTTACCCATTTCTCGCATCTGGGCCCTGATGCTGTCTAGGCTGTCATCCCGGAAGTGCGTTGACCGTTCCATCCATCGGGAATGAAGCCGCATTTCCGAATTGAACACTTCTCCCAGGCAAACAGCGTAGCGCCTGGCTGAGGGGTGTTCTTGCTAAGTCTAGCCTACTGACTCACGATTTCCTACCTCTACTTGAGCTTCTAGAGCATGGACATGGTTGTCGCGGTTGTCGCGGTTGTCGCCAGCACGAGGGCCAAATCGTGCTGGAAAACACCAAGCAAGAATTGAAGACTAGAATCTAACAGCATGTTGTGGGTAACTCAGGAGAGTTGTCAAGCTTCAGGTGTGGATTGGTGATGTACCAAAACGGGCGCATCATGATGCCTTCTCACAGGGCAAATTGAAACATCCTGAAGCTAAGAAGCACTTGGAAGCATCGTAACTCCAATGTGCTTCGAACAAATGTTTCTTTTCTGCTTACATGGCACGCAGTTGATACAAGATGGCAAGCGACGAGATGATCAAGCAAAGTTCTGATTTGAGCTTGTCCATCAAGGGTGTGGAGTTTGCATTTCCCCTGTTTTAACTCCGAATCTTTCGGCAATTGTCTCTCGGCAGTTAACAAGTACACTCCTCAATGTTGATGAACGTTTGGGTGGTAGCACACGGTGAATCGGAGAGCAGGCAACGGGGACGCGAAGTTAAATTTGCCTAGCCGCCAACTGGTTGCCTGGCCGCAGCCCAATTGCAGGCTTGCATGTGATTGTTGACCGACGCTGAAGCAAAATGAACGTCATCAAAGTTATGGTCCTTTGAGGGCGTAAGGGGGACAAACAAACACTAATGAATAACAACAATCATCAACGAATAGCAAAGCAAAGAATTCTTGCGTGCTCGACTACGTTCGGAAAGCACTCTGGCGCAAGGCCACCGAAACTGCAGACTTGTTGGAGCAGCTCGGAGAGCTTGCCAAGCAAGCAGCAAGCATGAAAACACCGAATAAGGGTCCCAGGGTCCCTGCAACTTTCCTTCAAAACGCTGCGCGAACGTCATGCGAAACCAGAAAGTTCAAGGAAATTCGTCCGTCTTTCCAACATTTTAAACCCCATGCAGCTTCTTCTATGCAACGAGTCCCGTCTTCTGGCCGATGTTACTTTGCCAAAGTGTAGCTCGGACTTTTCCTTTGTAAAGGTGTGGCTCGCTGTCTTGGAATGCTTCAAATGCTGTAAATTACAGCACTCACTGGTCTTGGAACACTGCAAGGACATTGAGCTTCTCTGCGGCGCCAGGATTGAGCGCGCGCGGCCCTGAAGCCAGACCTCACAAGAATCCCCACCTCTATACATCCCCTCTGTTGTTGGAGTAGCCTTCGCCGTACCAAAACCTGGCCCCTTTGCTGAAAAGCCGTCCTGCGGAAGGCCTCATCATCATACTTGAACGACACCAGTCCTGTGAACGGGCATGGGCCGAGTGCGGGCACACCCACACCATCCTGACAAAGTTGAAAAGAGGGGCTACTGATCAGAGGCATACCTCTTGGCCGGAATCTCTTTTCGCACGCCTTCGTGCCATGCTCTCATCATGTCATCCGCAGGGCTTCCTGAAGACCATGCCATCCTTTGTTGGACTGCAATCTTCTGTGGGATGGAGTGACCTAACACAGCAACACGTTTGTCCCGCAAACCACTACACTCCCACAAGATGTGTTGCAATGTGCCCACTGCTACATTGTCCTGGCACAAGGGGCAAGGTGCAACCTCCCTAGCCTTCATCCTGTCCAAAGCATCTGGACTCACCGTGCTCCCCAGTGAGCACCATGAGTGACACACGGTTTGCAGCGGCCCATGTCCTCTCTCGGGCACAGAGAGCCGCGTCGTACAGACAATCACGGCACTGCCTGGAATCCCTTCGAGATTTAAGACGCCACTTGCTGTGATGGAAATGCCGGAAGGCCTCCCGCCACAAGGGCTCGACCTGCTCTTTTATTTTCCAGTGTTGATCATGCAAAAGAGAAAAGGTGAATCCCAACCCTACTTGACCCCAACGCCACTCATCTTGCACAGCCCACCCGTAGTAAGACATGCACTTTCTGGCCACTTCCGACCAACCTCTTGTCGACCAAGTCGCCGGTGTTCCCTGAGGCCTCCTAGCGGCCTGCCTGTAAAGGGCCTGCATGTTTGCAAGCAGAACACGGAAGCGAAAGTCGAGGTTATGACCCCTCAAGATGGCACGCAAGTGCGGACAGGAACAGGCTCCCTCCTAAAGGGCGCAAGACGCGGCTGATTGTACCTTCCTAACCTCTTTAGCATTAGGGTGCCTGAAAACCCACCCCCACGCGGCCCTACTCAAAGCCTGGGCACTAATAACCGCCTTCTTAACTCCCCAGGGAGCAGGCAGGAAGCGGCATCTACGGATCGTGGTTCTGGCACCTTCCATGCGCTCCTCCTCATCCTTTGTGCTACGCCTCTTCTGCATTGCCTGCAATTGCGTTCTCAGGATTTTGGGGGCAGGGGTGACCTGGTCAGGCGGGACCCTTCAACCCAAGAAATCCATCCTACCCTTACGCGCCTGTGGAAATGTGCAGTCTTAGAAACATTCTCTTGCAGTCCTAGAAGCTGCGACCAGCGGGCCAACGCAGCCTTCACCTCTAAGGCCTCACGAGCAGTGCTTGCAGCAAAAGACCTGTCAACCACGAATGTCCAGACAAGGACATTCGGAAACCCATGCCTGATGTCCCGCGCGGGGGCCGACAGCGCAAGAAGCATGCCCAGCATTGACCGAGTGTCCCCCGGTGGCATGGTTGGAAAGTCGGGCTTGAGCGCCCAGAGTACGTCATTAGCCGACGCTGCTCGCACCACACGCTAGCCATCACATTGGCCACCCCATGCGGCATGCCCGTGTGTTTGAAACACGCTGCAACTGACTTGGGATGAAGGGCGTCGAATGCAAGGCTGAGATCAAGAGAGACGAGGAGACGAGAAACTTCTCATCAATGCACGCAGCATCCAAAGCGACCAGTGCGTCGTACAGACACTTGCCTTTCTTACCCCCCGTAGCTTCAGGTGGCCACCAGCTCTCAACCCATTCCAGGGACTGTTCTTCTTGGAGCACGGCCGCACCCCATGCCCTGTACCACGTGCTAAGAACGGTGATGGGCCTGAGTTTCTCAACAGGAGCCGGGTCCCTGCCTTTCAATCCTTCTTTAGCAGGGGGATCTGCCCAGCATTCCTCCAAGCCTTTGGAGATTTGCCAACCCTAACGCAAAAGGCGTAAAATTCAGTGACAAAGCGTAAAACCTCTTCGGGCAACTCTGCCACCTCATTTCCTGAACAGTGGTCAGCCTCTGCTGCCTTGCCTCTTTGCTTGTACAATGCATCACGTATCTCACCAACAGTAAGTGGGCGCCACCCTTGCTGCTGTGACACGGGTACCTGGGATCTAAGAGCCCTTAGACCCACCTCCCAGTTTACCTCCCTATCCCACATGTGGCGCCAATGCCGCGTCAAGAGTTCCAGAGCACTCGCTGGATCTTGTGAGCCTTCACCTGGCAATGAAAGACTCGTGAGGCGAAAAGGCGGGGTACAAGGAGGGGTCCTAAGCCACCTAACTCTTTTTGACCGAACCTCTAAGTTTAGTTTTCCATTTTCAAATTTTCAGTTTGTCCTGCTGTTGGCGTTGGGCTGCCAGCATGTGCTGCGCAGCTTGCAACCTCACAGTGGTATTGCCAGCTGGCAGCTCACTGTTGCGGGCGACCAGCTTGCGCAACTTTCTGAATGAGTCCTCATGTTCACGGCCCAAGTGAACGCAGCATCTCGCTCAAACGAAAACACAACTTTTGTAGAGACCTCTCCCGAAACGAGGACATCGGAGCCTTTCGTGCGCCGTGCAAAACTGAACTACGAAAAATCTTAACCTCATTTTTTCTGCAGTGACTTTTGTGCTTACAAGGAGTACCTGATACAAGGCACACCTCATGGAGTCCTCCGGCTTGACACTGCAAGCGTCCCAGAGGGGATCCCCCGCGGACTGGTCAGCTTGCCAAGGCGCATGCAGGAACTGACCCTGCCTCCACGCTGTCGTGACAGTGGCCTGCCACGTCTCCAAAGAAACTTGCTCAGGTCGGGACAGGTCCATAGACTCAGCTTAGGCATGCACCTGGCCAGATTGAGAGCCTTCCGGCAACCTCACGTTCAACTGGAGAACCTTGTGATCGGATATCACACTGAGCGCAATTTGGCATTGGCCCTCAAGACGGACAGCGTTGGCCACCCCGTAATCAATACACCTATTACCAGCAAACCTAGTGGGAAGAAGGGCACCTTGCTCATCCGTAACAGCAACTAAACCATCACCACGAGGCTTCAAAACATCACAAAAAGGGTTCTGTGAAGGCGTGGCATTATGGTCACGCATCAGCAACCACTTGCAGGCATCACCCTGGGCAGCAATCCATGCAAGAACCTGCTGCTCTATGTCATGGTTTCCCACACTGGCCTGGCCGAAGAATACAGAATAAGGAAGTAAATCCCTTCGACCTCCCCAGGCAAGCCCATAGCGCACTGGAGCGGGCAGAGGGCCTTTGCAAAGCTGTCACGGAACTGTGTTGTCACGGCCCGTGCGAGCAGGCGGCGGAAAGGTTTGGGCACAGCCCATTTGTGAAACCACTCCGCCGCTACACACGAACTCCAATCCCAAACCCTAAGCCAGCATGATACCTGCTAATTCCACTCCAAAACCCTGAGCCTTGAACTCCATAATCGTTTTCCTTTCCCTGTTGTTACCATAGCCGTGAACTGTATCACTGTCGTGTGTTACTATTGCTGTTCTCCCTGATAATAGACTATGGCATTATTACATTCAGGGCTAGTTTCGTTAACGGTTGATTGTATGAATCTGCAGCTAAACACTGCAGTTTGTCGCGGGGACTATGCAGTGCCAACATGCTGCTTTTGCACGGCAAAGGACGCACAGCTTTCAAGAAACGGGAAGGCTGGGGTGGCGCATCCCCCACTTGCGACAAAATCATGACTGGAAGCTCCCAGCTTCTGGCAAAGCAGAGTCCCTGAGGCATGCAGGCGCAGCTTTAATTAAGCGAGGGCGTTGAGCTCCTTTACCTTGCCAAAGTATGATGAAAGCCAGCATGCAACAAAGAAGCGGGTTGGTTGGGGGGCGGCAGCCCCCTCGAGATGTGCAGACGCACGATGATTGACGATCCGTCTTGTCTGGCAGACAGAGTGCCCACATGCTGCTACGTGAGGCAAGCATGTGCCGTTTCAAAGAAGCAAGAGGGTTCGGGCGTGCAGGCCCCTCCACTTGCAAATGTACAACGATGGGATGATCACACAGCCCTGTTAAGCTCACAAGGGGGGGGGGGGGCACAAGCCCACCCATTTCTGAAGAATGGAAGATTCATCCTTTCTGACACGCAGATTGCAGACGTGCTGGTCCTCCAGGCAAGCACGCACGCCTTTACAGAAGCGGGGGGCGCACCCCCCATTTGCAAACATATTATGGTGACTGGACGATCTGCGGGTTCTGGAACACAAGCACACAGAGTGGTCACATGCTGCTATTTGAGTCACGTACGCGGCGTTATCCAGCGAGAAGGCGAGCGCAGCTCCTTCCCAGCCGCGCATTTATGATTATGGGAAACCATGCACGAGAGGCTTAACAGAAGCGGGGGGGGTTGGGGGCGGCCCCCCCCTTGTGTGCAGACACATGATGATTGGAAGATCCGTCCCTTGTGGCAGACAGAGTGTCCACATGCAGGCATCTGAGGCACGTATGCCCAGCACACACTGCCTACATGCTGCTCTGCGAGGCAAGCATGCGCAGCTTTAAAGAAGCAGGAAGGCCCAGACTTGCAAGCGTATGATGATCGATGATGTGGGCCACTAATCCACGAGACCAAAAACAAGGAGACCACAGGACTACTGGACCAGGGGACCTAGGGACCACTGGACCACTGGATACGAGGTTAAGAGGGACCACAGCCTCACCAGGACCGAGCCACACCTTTGCAAAAAAGAACAGACGAACGTTTTTTGGGTCTACAAACCAAAATACGCTTAGTTAGGCTTCAACACACACGCGCGCTCAGGCACCTTCCAAAGATTCTTTGCTGAGTGATGCTGTGTGTTTCTTGTTTGACTGCAACAGGCGGAAGGCATGTTATGGCGCTGAACTTCAAGCTCCTGGATCAGACATGCTGCGGTGCCTTGAGCAATCCCCGAGCTCATCCTGATTCTTCTTCTGGTGGACTAATAGCGCCCTTGGCTCTGAGACCTTGGCTGTGGTCAACTGAAGCACTTGCCGACCATGTCCAATCCCTTTCTGCGATTGGACCCTCGCGACTTGATAAGTTGTTTTGCAGCTCAAAGATTGAACACGCCTTGTTGCGATTGCTAATCAGTTGCCACAACTGCTACAGTAATTGTTCTTGAAGCGGCGTGTTGTGTATCCTCAGTCTACTGCGCACTCCTTTCTGGCTGCAGGCAGCTGAGGTGCTTCAGGGTCGACTATCAGCTCGGTAGCAACAGCATCGTCAGCAATCAAGCCCTCCAGGCCGTCAAGTCTGACCTGCGGGCTGCAAATGGCAACCCTTCAAATCATTTCTACAGATTCGTTTTTGAGCTTGCCCTGCACTTTGGGGCCTTCATGCGATGACAAAAATCTGTGAGCTCCTTGCGCATCAGCGCAAAGTCGTTCGCGTATGGGTAGAGCCTGGCAGATCTCCCCAGGTCAGAGACATGTCACAAGTGGCGGCACTGCGGGCTTCAAGTGACACTCGTGCCGCTTGTTGCTAGAGAATACACGCCAACGCATAAGCACTCACGCATAGCATCGCACGCCAGCCATGTGAAGATGTGCAGTAGAACTTCACCAGTGCAGCATCGCACCTTTACACATCCCAAAGACCTCCCCGCCCCCCGGCCTGTCCCCAGCAGAGACGGACCGCCATACATCTGAGACTGAGGCATTATCGCTCATCGTCATGGCTCCGGAAGGAAAACGCAACAGGCTACAGCTTGTGCTAGATTCTGCTAGCGTAACTGCTGCCACGTGGCTTTTGGAGCTAGATGGAGCTAGCCTCTAGCCTTATGATGCCTCATGTAGGAAGTCACTGGCTCTCCAATTGGTCATGGTTGTTCGACTCACATTGAGCCAACTTTTGAGCCGGCAGATGAAAATCTAAAATTCCAACTTGCTCCCCAACTGCTCAAAATCTGCAAGCCCATAGTTCCATCATCCCTATATAACCCCAATATACTATAGTAGTTTCCATTTTCTTTTCCATTATCCCTATATAAACCCAATCTACTATAGTAGTTTCCATTTTCTTTTCCATTATCCCTATATAAGTGACAATCTTTGACACTTTAAAGCCTGCCTCCAGCTCCTCTGGACCGCCAGGCCCTCCTAGAAGTCGTTGCAGGGATGGCGGCAGTTGGGTGGGCATTCCCAATAGATCCTGGCAGCTACATGGTAGTTTCCCAAAAT